ATTTTTTTTTTTGCTGTTTTTTAATTGCTTGATTCTTTCCGATGAAGCCTACACAATTCTCCAGTATTGTTAATAATTGTTTGATTCATTAGCTAGAAAAATCTATTTTTACAACATGCAGCCACTACATGTGCGCTATGATTCTTTGTAGGTTGTTGCTCAGGCGATTTCCACGGTGTAAAACTTTTGTATGCTTTTATTGGCACATATTTCACTTTTTATCGCTCGCTATGAACATATAGTAGTGCTCTCATAAATAGTTTCATAATTGCTGATACAATTTACAGTACTATTATTATTTTTACATAAATACACTTTTAGAATAAAACTAACACCATATCCAGCTATCGATTTGCCCAGCAGTGAATGGCCGTATGTATAACGAGTTCACTATATTTAGTGGACAAACAAACCTTTGACTTTACATCCCATTCCTTCTGGAGAATATTTTAATAACACTGGAAGATAAAAAGATAATTCCAAAAAAAAAAAAACTTAGACGTTTAATAAGTAATTTCTCTGTATCTGAAACTAAAAACTGATACATTGTATTTCATAGGAAATTTACGTTTTTTTCTAAGCTTCGGGATGTAAATTGGAATCAGTGATGTACAACACATGCATATCTTAATAAAACACGAGTGACTGTTGGCCTGGTGAAAAATTAAAGAGAATGTCCTGTGCCCAAAGGATGCCGCCTTAGTGAAGATCAAAGAATTCCGCTTGGGAGTTATGTAACCATCAGGCAACATCCTTTGATTTCCACTGAGGCGGCATCTTTTGGGCAAAGGATAGTCCTCCTAACTACTGTGGTGGTTAGGGCGCCGGACTCGCAATCTGCCGGTCGCGTTGTCGAAACACGTCGCCGAACATGCTTGCCCTTTCAGCCGTGGGAGCATTATAATGTAACAGTCAATCCTTGTCGTTGGTTTAAGAGTAGCTCAAGAGTTGGTGATGGATAATGTTGACTAGCTGCCTTCCCTCAAGTCTATCACTGCTAATTTAGGAACAGCTAGTGCACAGATAGCCCTCGTGTAGCTTTGCGCGAAATTCAAAATTCGTTGGTAAAGATCAGCTCAAGAGTTGGTGGTGTTGACTATCTGCCTTTCCTGTAATGTATAACTTTAAAATTAGGGATAGCTAGCGTGGATAGCATTCGAGTAACTTAGCAAAACAAACACTGAGTTGTTTAACCTTTGAACGTAGTACATACAAGATCAAGGTTCGTTCTTCATAGCAGTTTTCCTTCCGATGAGAAGTATTCAACCATGTAGATGGGTGAAGATCAGTGATTCATAAAAACTTATTGCAACACACGTAGAAAACTACGCGATATAGTAGCGTGAGGCAACTTTAACGAAACATTTAATACTGCGTTTTTGGCGAGAATGCAAACACGATCTCGTTTTGTTAACATGATAACATATGTGATTAATATTTACTTAGCGTGTGTGTGTGTATATATATAAATAACCATTGGTTCTCACCTAATTATAAACCATTGGTTTTTATCCAATAAATGAAGCTCTTTCATTCAACACAGTCGCCATCTTGTTTTCTCACTTTTTATCAAACATTGACATAAATGTAATTATCTATAGAGTTAAATATATATAGAAGTATGTTTACAATAAAACTTGCAGTGGCGTAAGTATGCCCCTGCAAGGCTCCAACCTGAAAGACCTGACAAACTTAAGATTTGTGGACAAAGGGAATAAATGTAGGGGCCCAATTACTTTGGGGGGGGGGCATCTTTTGTAGTTACTAGTGAAGTAGACTCAAACATAGATTTGTTTAACTTCTGATGAATTATGTATTGTACACGAAGAGAATTTATCTTATAAGAAATAACCTTATGGTCTTCAAACAATTTTATCACCCACTATGCAAGTTGACCATTTTTTTTACCCACTATAATTATGAATTATGTATTGTACATGAAGAGAATTTATCTTATAAGAAGTAACCTTATGGTCTT